GGTTTGTTTGTTTGTGTTTACCTACCGGCTTTTCTTCCCTTTACGTTTATTTTGTTACCCAAAATAAGGGGGAAAAGTAAGTTGCACGAAAAAGCAGGGCTGATATTGGAGAAAGATCACAATTTACGATAAATCTTTACATGCGTCGAGTGGTCTTTAATCTCAGCACCTTTGATGGAAATCGGTAAAGCCAATACATGCTTTTGCTTAACCCGAGATCGCTTTTAATATTCTGTGATTCTATATCTAACAACTCAGTGGATAACGAGCTCGAGATCTCTATCACATGATAGTTAAAGTCGACAGCGACGACTAATCTTTTATGTATCCACTAGTCGCTCCAAACTTTGAAACAAGACGGGCCACCCACTATCAGGGAATAGATTGCGAGTAGCGTAACCAGTAAGATCTCAGAATTTTTATAGCGCGCCAGTTTATTTCTATTAATATGTGTTATGTTTGTTGATATTTGCTTTAAAGCGAGAGACTGTGTTGATATCTACGACTGCGGTCAAAAAGCCAGCGGTGTGTACACAGTCCGTCCACGCGGTAAACAGCCCTTCGACGTTTTCTGTGACCAGATCACCGATAGCGGAGGCTGGACAGTGTTTCAGAAGAGAGTGGACGGATCTGTTGATTTCTACCGCGGTTGGCATGACTATAAAGTGGGGTTTGGGAACCTGAAGAACGAGTTTTGGCTGGGACTTGATAAGTTAAACAGGCTGACCATAAACAACAAGAAACGATACAAACTTCGCGTGGATTTGGAGGATACCTCTGGCAACACAGCTTATGCTTCGTATAATTACTTTGGTGTGTCAAGCGAAAAGACTAACTACAAACTCAGCCTTGGGACATACTATGGTAAAAAAAAGAACTGAAGGGATAAAATAACGTTTTTTCTTTTCCATTTCCTCTCTCACTTTTTCTCCTCTTCTGCTTTTCGTCTCTTTTCTCCTCTTCACTTTTAATCTGTTCTGTTCCATTCTGTCGGTTCTGTTTTGTTCTGTTCTGTTCAGTTAACCTCGACTCATTTTTCTCCCCTTCTCTTTTCTTCTTCTCTCTTCTTTCCTCTACCTTTTCTTTCTCCTTCCCCCTCCATTCCTCTCGTCCGATCTTATCTTACCCAATATTTCCTTGCCTTACATTCTTGACACTCTTTTCGCCAGTTGGGGCAACGAGCGAGTTATTTGAGCTAGGAAAAATCCTGGCTTAAAGAGTGAAAGTTGTCCTCTTCTCTCCTCTCCTTGTTCCACTTTTATTTTTTTCTTCTCTCTTTGCCTCCTCTTTTCTTTCATATCTTCTCCTTTCCTCTCCTTTTCCACCCGTTGATATTATACTACCTAGCATTTTTTGTCTTACATTCTGGCCAGATAATTATTTTCTGTTGAATCTGAACAACATTTTATTTAGTTATACGTGGAAACAGACGAGTTATGCAAGCCGGATTGAAATTCCTTGTACTTCAAACGATAAATTAGAATAAACTAAACAGCTGCCAGAGTGGCTAAAACTCCTAATATGGCTCACTGTTGGACCCTTTGGGATTGACCATCTTGGGCTTTGATTCTTCTCTCTTTTCAGGCAATGCTGGTGATTCACTGTCCTATCACAAGAGTCGTCCGTTTTCTACAAAAGACCGAGACAATGATGGTCAAAGTGGTAGTAACTGTGCTGTAACTTATCATAGCGGCTGGTGGTTCCACGCATGTCACACTTCAGGTTTAAACGGAGCATACCTCCACGGCTCTCATTCCTCTCTTGCTAATGGAATAAACTGGAAGAGTTGGAAGGGATATAACTATTCTGCTAGGCGCTCCGAAATGAAAATTCGGCCCGTTGGCTGGATTCCATCCTAAACAGTCTAAAGAATGTTCTCGCGCTCTGTTTCTGGTATGTTTCCAATTTAACGTAATGGGAAGGATATGTGTACGCTTCGAAAAATGCCTTGCGTTTCAAAGAACGACTACTTTTTTTGCACAGCGGCAAAAGGTGTGCACATGCCTGCAACGCGAGAAATTCTACGTACGCAAAGGAATGGGAAAAAATGGCAGCAATTGTTTGTTTTCATTTTGCGAGGATGAGCTCATACCAAAACAGAGAAGGTTGCCGTTTCCAGGAAAGTCTCCGTGAACCTTCCTCGTCAAATATCTCACTCAACGAAAAAACAGTTTTGGGGTAACAGGTTTGAATTTAGGGACTGAAGTGGAGCATCTGTAATATGGGTACGAAATTCGTGGTGACTCATCTATCGCTTTAGTTGTCTGGATAAATTTAATTAAAAGAATGCAACTTACCCTTCAGACCTTTCCATTATAACAAACTCCACCTAACTGTCCACTCGGTTCAAACCATAACAGTCCATAAAAAGTGTAAAATTATGTTCTTTCGTTCCCAAACGAAACATTTACGCCGCAGCAACAAAACGCTCTCACAACGCACCAAACCCGTAGAGCATGCGAACTCATTCTGCCGCTGCATTGCGTTTTGTGGGCTCGTGACGAATCTGAGTCAGTGTTTTACGGAAACAAGGACAGGGCGGCAGAGCTGAATAACGTGCACGCATGCGCTAGATTTTGCCGCGGAAACACGGATTTTGAGTCGTTCGCATGAATGATTTCCTATTCTGTTGCTTCGAGGTGTCGTTTTCCTTGCCGCTTTTCTTCTACAGAACAACCTCCAAAAACTTGGTACACCCCCTGAGAGTATGAAAAATTAATCTTCTCCTTAAAATCTCTGGAAATAGGAAAATGCCTTCGACGAAAACAGAGTTCCTCGGTTTTAAAAGTCAGCACGTACTATTTTCCGCTAATTTCGCTAAAATTTAGACCTAGGACACTTGAGCCCGCGTTGTTGACGGCAACCCGCTGACGTAGCATTTCATTATTCAGCTCTGTCGGACAGGGCTGAATAATGAAGTGCTACCGCAGTAGGTATGCGATCATCAACGCGGGCTCAAGTGTTCTAGGTCCAAAATTTAGCGAAATCGACGCGTTTTTACAGTTGAGCCCGCATCTCAGCGGTGTTACAGTCAGTGCGCGCAAAAGCGAGGCTTTCGGGTCAAATGAAATCACCTCAACAAACATAAGTGTGACATTTGGATCTGTGGACTGTTTTGTTCGATTGTGTCTGTAGAGCTGGTCGTTCATCCGGCCTGATTCTGTTGTGAAAATCATGGCGAGGCACTGCATTGCTTATGGATGTGTTAACAGAAGTAATAAGCCCGAATTCTCAAAATTGTCGTGGCATTCTTTACCTATAAACAATGCTAAGCTTCTTCGAACTTGGTTGCTTAAAATGAAGAGAAAAGACCCTCCTGTGTCGAAGCATTCTTACCTCTGCAGTCAGCACTTTTCTGAAGATTGTTTTATGCGTTGAGTGGGAGGAAAACGATATCTGAAAAGTGGATCTGTTCCTACAAGATTAATATTCAGATTTTCACCGGAGGAAAAGCCAAAGCGGAAAGCTCCTGTTTATCGCTCAGCTGCACGTGAGACAAAAACAAAGCACGAAGTCAAAGATGAAGTTATACTGAAGTCCCACTCTAACCCTGTCGATAATTTAGCTGAATTAGAATCTGTTAATATTCCATTTCAAGAAGATGAATTTCCTAGTGTTATTACTGAGAAAGCTGAGGTGGTTAAAAGCAAAGAAGAACTTTTAATGGAGCAGCTTAAAGAAAAGGAAGAAGTGAAGCGCTTAAAAGAATGTTTACAGGTTCAGAGGAAGGAACTCGAAGAAGAACTTATTGCAAAATGAAACAACTTGCCCACCTGTGCATTAGTTTACGTTTGTTGGCGTCACTCGAAGCACTGCCATCTTTTGCTGTTCATACACGGTATGAAAGCAACGTTCTCAGCCTAGGCTTTGTCAAATGACGAGGACAGTTTCCGCTGAGTAATTGTAGCCTCTCTTCTGGTGAGAAAAATGAAAAATCCGGATAGGAGCTCATAATTATTATTTTTCTCGAATTTTCCTCATAAGGCGCTTATACTCCCCTAAAATGTTAACCCGAAAGCCTCGCTTTCGCGCACTCTGTAACTAATACCGCTGTACCCTGGGGCTCAACTGTGATAACAGTTCTTAGCGGAAAATAATAAGGGTTGATAAGGGCTGACATTTAAAACCGGGGAACTCTTTTCTCGTCAAAGGCACTTTCCTATCTCCACTCAGAGGTTTTAAGGAGAAAATGAATTTTCGAAAATTTTTGGGGGGTGTACCAAGTTTTCGGAGGTTGTTCTGTAAAAGAAAAGCGGCAAGGAAGATGACCCTCGAAGCAACAAAATAGGAAATCAACCCTGCAAACTACTCAAAAATCCGTTTTTTGCGGCAAAACCTAGTGCATGCACATACGTTATTCAGCTCTGTCGTAAACAAAAGGAAACAGTTATTGAGACTAAGATTAAACCCGGTTTAAACCAAAAGGTGGAGTGTGGGGAACGATTAAATCTTAGTTGGTCTAAATACAGAGCCAAAATCTATTCCTGTTTTCACTTTCCAACTTCTTCTACACAAACGGTAGAATTCCCACTTAAAGGAGGGAGGAAATGGTGGATATGTATACAGCAGACGTTTTTCATGGAAGAACTTTCGACTTGCAGCTCCTCTCAGAAAGTTTTGCATGACATGCCTCTTTTTTTTTTTTACAGGTTCTTCCTTAGATGTTTGTCACAATTAAAGAGAAGAAAGAGAAGTCGAAAATTTCATTTTTTATTGCATTGTTTCATTCTTTTTGCTGTTGTAATATAACTAGAATCGGAAGGTCCGAGCTAAAGTTAAGGATTAGATGGTTTTAAATTTCTTATTTATAGTGCTGCATCTGTCGCATCAGTTTTAACAAAAAGCGTAGTAGGAGATGAAATTGTTAGTGATAGATCCATTTCAAAGAAAAAGCCTAGGGCAAGTTAGGAAAAATATAATCTGGTATGATTGTTCTTGAACACAACAAAGTAGCAGAAAATCTAGAAAAGCAAAAATAATAGCAGCTTGTAACCTATCATTTCCTGTTGAAATTCATCACAAAAATTTCAGTCCTCCACCTCACATATCCATAGTGTGCATCAGTTTTCTTTTGAAGTGTTTCAAGAATTGCAGGAAAACAGCTGAGAAATAAATGGGGAGTGGATCCTAGCTTGCATGCGACCTCCTTCATTGAGAAGAAAAAGTCATAGTTTCATAATAATAATCAACTTGCCTTGCTGGCTGTAGGCAGCTAAGCTGCAAATGTGGCCCTTCTCCAAAACGAACGAAATTTTACCTGCTTTCTCCCTGATTCAGAATATTTGTTAAACTTCCTTTTGGTGCAAAAAATGTCCAGGTACAATAGTAGAATATTTTTGTAAATTACTCATCTACCATGATTTGAATTAAAAGACAGGAAGTCTGCTCTGAAGGTGTAAATGGGAAGGCTGGGAGGGGAGTTAAAACTCTGGGGGAGATGGTTCAGAAGAGTGAGGGGGGTGACTAAGGCTCCTGCTTGAACTCTTCCCTTCTAATGTATGAAAGTGATCCTTGGAATAATAAACCCTACTTATGTAGTAGTGGAAATAAGGCCTCAAAATTCAGGCCTTATTTTCCCTTGCAGAGGTCATGTCATTATTACTGCGAGGGTCGCTTTCATACACTTAATGAAACTGCAGTACACATACATGATTTTCATATATTCAAATTCATTGATTTATCAGTTCAACAGGTTTAATACAAACCAAAAGAATGACCAACTTCCAGTTGGCTTGTCAGCTCAGTTGGTAGACCACTGCATCAGTATTGCAGTGGTCATGGGTTCAAAATCCTGTATGGACCTTAATTTTTTTCAGGGCTTATTTCCACTACTACATAAGTAGGTTTTATAACTGTGAGGATTGCTTTCATACATTTCACGAAACTGCAGTACACATATATGATTTTCATGTATTCAAATTCATGGACTCTTCCCTTCTATTCAACTAGTTTTCTTTTTGTAGACTCAGAAAAGATCACAAAGTGAATGGCCTCCCTGCCAATAACCAACAGTGCACACCACCCTTAATCAAATTGACATCTTCCCAGCTTGAGTGTCAGTGTATGAATAAAACATTTTCAGAATCAAGTAGAACCAAAAAGTTTATCAAGCCTTATTTCCAGGAATGTCTAAGACAAAAAAATATGGCATTCAAAGAGAGAGAGGAATTATATGCAATAAAAACATCTCTAATCCCTACAACCTTTAATTCCCAACCTTGCTTACATGTTGCAACTAAAGTATACATGAAGACCGTTTTTCTTTCAGTCACCACAAAGGAAAATGAATAGAAATTCACTTTTCCCACATTTTACAATTCAACTTGTTAAACTATCTCATATGCCTTTGGTCTCCAAGAGCACACCTTTCACACAACAAAAAGAAAGAATTTCTGATTGTAGGCCAATATGAATCAGTCCTTTGTGATATCAGACACAAGTTTTATTGTCAATTGAAAGCTTTGTTTGCATTCTAGGTGTCTCATTGGGGCAAGTGATCTTTACAAGCTCACAATTGTTGACTCACCTGGCAAAGTTTGATTTATTGTTAGACAGGGTGGGGAGGGGGGGAGGGGGCAGGGAAATGCAAAAAATAATTTCCATTTCCCTACTCCTTCTCCTCTCCTTCCTTTTGCCATTGCTCACCCCTCCAGTAAAAATTCCTTTCTCTCCCCTGATTTCCACTGCTGTAAAAATCAAAGATGGTGGCTATACTTTCCACAAGGAAAATACTGAACCCCAGCTCACCAAAATTGCACCTGCTCCGCAGGCTGTATGTTAAAAGCTTATCAAGGTAGATAAATTCCCTGTAGAGAATTTTGAAAAGTTAAGGAAAATCCTCCTTTGGTTTCAGTAAAATGATATGTTCGCAGGTTACATGGGTGAAAAAAGTTCTATACACTTCTAATCTAATAACACTGATTACTGTACTCTATAACATATCTACGATGTCATGTGACTGTCACAATTTGTTCTCATCTTCGATTCACCAGAACTTTTTATGGCCACTGGCAAGGTACAAGACGTATCCTACAAAAATTGGAAAGGTAATCATGCTTCTGACCATGTGATAGCTGTTCCACTTGTCTATGGTCTCCCTTACGACGCTTTCACTCTTCTTGGTCGTCACTTCTTTATCGTAAATGGGATCAATGGAGTTTGGTTTCAGAACGAACATCGTATATGGAAAGATCGTTGCAATCACACCTCCACCGACAAGGAAGGGGAGACCCTTTCTTGGATTACAGTAGTATGCACCGGCACCAGAAATTATAGAGACTAATGCCAAGCGACTCTGGAAAACCTTCGCTCGATCGAAACTTTCCATCCACTCTTTGTGACAAGATTTGGTATTTTCCACGGTCATTCGGGCGGGATGTTCAACAACATTGATGTACACCGCACCTCCGGCAAACATACCGGCAGCAACAGTGGAAATTGCCTCAAGATAAGGGAACAAGTCGTCCAAATCGAACCCCATTCTGACTAGCGAGTCTTAGAGAAGAATTACACCCAAAACTTCAGCCTGTGCAACGACGACTACGCACTTTATCAACGCGACTGCTGCTATATAGACATAGCGTGGGCTCAGTGCTTTGAGAAGTCACGCCAAGAAATGCCACGAGGTCACACAACGATCGATTGATTGTTTATTTTTTTTCCGAAGATGAAAGTTTGGAGACGGATTTTCATCTTCGGAATGTAGTAATAGAGTTACTTACTGTGCGAACTTGAATAATTCTAATCAGCTCTGTTTTTAGACTTTATTTCGGCTAAGCACCATAGCTAAAGCTAATAAAGGTAGATACATACTTCCTGTTGCGAATTTTGAAAATTTGTTCTAAGTGTTACTACTTTTGTTCAGTAAAATGGATGAGAATGTATTTTTTATACTTGTTTCGTTTCAGCAAACAAATATGTCCATTAGTGACGAGTGAAAAAAAGTTCTGTTCCTCCAATGAAAAATCATCACCTAGTGCACTTCATATCATAAAATCTAGTCTGTGTGACTGTCGAGATTTTTTCCCCATCTTTACCAGAACTTTTTATGGCCACTGGCGAGGTACACAACGTATCCTACAAAAACTGGAAAGGTAATCCTGCTTCTGACCATGTGATAGCTGTTCCACTAGTCTATGGTCTCCCTCACGACGCTTTCACTCTTCTTGGTTGCTACTTCTTTATCGTAAATGGGATCAACCGTGTTTGGGATCAGAGCGAACAACGTAAACGGGAAGATCGTTGCGATCAGTCCTCCTCCGACGAGAAAAGGAAGACCCTTGTTTGGGTTACAGTAGTATGCACCAGCTCCAGAGACCATGGAGATTTAGGCCAGGCGACTCTGCAAAACTTTTGCTCGATCAAAACTTTCCATCCACTCTTTGTGACAAGATTTGGTATCTTCCACGGTCATTCGAGCAGGATGTTCAACAACATTGACATATATCGCACCTCCCACGAACATACCGGCTGCAACAGTGGACATGACCTCGAGATAAGGAAACAAGTCGTCCAAATCAAACCTCATTTTTGCTATGAAGTTGTTTTAAAGTACTTGACCCTTGTTATAAAGGAATGAACAACACCCAAAGTCTGCGCGTCAAAGACTACGCACTTTGTTAATAAGACAACTGCTGCGTCACGGACATAGCGTGGGCGCAGTGATTTGAAAAGTCGCGTAACGATTGCTGTTTGTTAATTTTTTTTCGAAACTTAACAACAATCTGAAAACTAGGGAGCTCATTGCTTTAGAATATAGCATTAGAAGAAACAAGGGATCTTTCTGTTTTAAGCTTAAGTGTTTCACGTCCGCAATGTTTTTTGAATATTTTAGCAAGGTGTTTATGCACCATGGCTCCACTGCAAGCTTTTATATCATTTTGCAATTATCGAAGACGAGTAGAACACTTCATAGAAAAAAAGGTCTGCGTACGACTGTAAAAACCGACCGGTCGCGAGCGAGTCACAGTTAGCGACGCTCAATCATTGATTTACTGTGCAGAAACATCCTGCTGTTTAGTTAACAGCTGATAACGGCACTGAATGTCGAGACAAAGAATTCAAATGTCTTTCTCTAACCTCTGAAAATCTATCGAAGCTGTTCTAAACTAAAACTTGTGGTGTAAAAGGCACGAGGAAATATAAATTGTAGCTTGGCTTAAAAATATGGGAAAAAAACTCAATGGTATCTGGTTCAAAGTCTTTTAATGATTCATTATCTGCACTGTACCTTAATGTACAAAATAACGTCTGTTGGTTTACAGAACTTCGCAAGCGACCCCAATTGTCTTGGAACACATATATTTTCGACAAAATCGGTTATGTACGAATACAGTCTTCGAAAACAATTACATAACATCACAAAAATATTAGAGAAAATTCCCCTTAAATATACCGTAATTTAGGGTGAACGCAATTCCACAGAATGTCCCTGATTTCAAAATCCATTCAACTCAATTTTCAACATGGCCGCCTCTCAGTTGTAGACAAGATTGTACACACACCAGGCAAATGTTGACAGATCTATGATGGTGCGGACTTTGTGAAAAGTGTTCCATTTATCCACAGTGTCTCGCACTTTTCCGGGATCCATCTTTCCAGCGACTTCATAATCATATATGGGGTCGATGACACGCGATTTCATGGCGAGAGCTGTGTACGGCATATTGAAAGCCATCAGCCCGGCAGTGATAAGCCAAGGTTTTCCTTTGCTCTGATCGATAGCAAACGCTGCTACTCCCCCAGCGACCGGCAGCAGCGATGTCCCGGCCATCAAGTACTTCGCTCGATCGAAGCTCTCCCGCCATTGGCGATGAAGCGATTGGACATCATCAAGTTGCATTCTCGCAGGATGCTCTGCAAGGTTGATGTAAATTGCACCGCCAGCTATAACACCCGTAGCAACGGTTGAGGCGAATTTTACCAGCTTCAGTGCATCTTCAACGTCCATGATTCGATACAAGTCGGCGTAATATTCCAGATCCGCACTAACACACTTTCGACCTTTGTGCCCTTGAGTGAATATTAAATGCAGAAAGATCGATTTACATAAAAGCGAACATGTGCATATTTGGATGTTTTTCTTGTGTTCACACCTCGTGACTAAAAGGCGAAATTGCAAAAAATTTTCTCCCTAAAAATTGATCACCTCAAAAGGAGAAGGAAACCAAAAAATTAATAATTGAACGAAACAAAAATTTATTCTATTCCTACAAATATTCTTTAGTTTTTCTGTCAGATCTGACGACCGGGTACAGTCACTTGTATCTTAGGGAACTCTTTTTCAACTCCCTGTGTGTGCTACAGGCGATCAAATCTGCCTCGATAAGCGAGGGTTTCTAATTGGTTTTATCTGCAGTCTGCAGGACCATGGCCGGATCCACCTTGACAACAGGTTCTAGTCTTGCATATGTCATCAAAAGTGTCTCTCTTGCTTTGTCGACTAGTAAAGAAGTCCTTCGAGCTTGGAACGCTAAAGCAGACTTTCCAGTTTTGAAATTCTTTCACTCTTACTGAATATGCAAGCAAAATAACTTAAAGGTATTTTTCTTCGCCAACAGCGCAAGGTAATCGTCATGACAAATTTGCTTACGGTTGCAGAAGTTTTGCCTACTGGAGAGATAGTGATTCTCATAAGAATGCTTTAACTAGAATAGCTTACTCGCTGTCTTTTCATATATGTAACACTGAATGGGCAGGTGTCATACTTTTATTTGTTCTTAGCTGCCATGTCACGCTGCCGCGCCACGGGTAACACTGTAATGGGTGTGTTTATTTGTTTGGAAAGGTTGATCCGCGTTCGATCATAAATGCGAGTTTCTCTGATCAGAAAACAAGAAGAGAGCTTTCAGTAGGCATTTTAAGAATGGCAAGCTTGAATTTGAACCCAGAGAAAGTCTTCCCGATTGTCGAGTGCGTGAACACGTTTCTTTGCGGGCTGATGACAGGAATAGCTGTGTATGTTGTTGCCGTGGAGCAGCCGTCAAGAATGACTATGAAGGACCCTGTAGCAATCCATCGCCAATGGCTGACGAGCTTCCATCGCTGTGCACGACTTATGATGAGTTTGTCTGCTTTCCCTCAGATCTCTGGCGTCGTGTTGTACTACATGGACCGCACCCGTGGTCTGCCGTGGCTAATTGTCGCTGGGTTGCTCTTGTTTAACATGCCTTACACTCTGTTAGTTCTGAAGCCATACTTCATCGATCCTATCATCGACGAAAGTGTCTGTTCCAAGAAGGATCATACGTACGTGGTGGATCGTGTTGTAAAATGGAGCAGAGCTCATTTAGTCCGTGTCGTGATCAATGAGATTGCGTTCGCAGTGTGCATTTACGCCATTGTATACTAGCTAACGGATGATCATTTTGACATACTCTTTGTGAATGAAGTTTTAACTTGTTGTTTTGCTGAGGAGAGTATAACTCAAAACTGCGCACAAGTTCATCTTGAACTTCTCTCGATCGTAGAATATGAGGATTGATTTAGAAACTGTTAAATAAAAAATTTTTAGTCTTCTGTTGGAGATTAAAGTAGTTCTAGAATACAATTTAACAGATTTGGAATGGATTCCTCCTAATTTATGCACAGCATTCCGTTCCGGCTACAGATCGCGATGTAATTAATTATGATTTAGTGATCATAAAGTAATAACCCACCGTCAGAGAATTGTGGACTTGGGCTCTTAAAAGAATACTGCTGTAGGCTGCTGTATATTGCATCCGAAAACAGGTAGTGTTAAATAAAATTTCAATATTGCCAAATGAAAGCAAAGAGAATGCGAGAAAATGACAAACTAAACGAAGAAATTGTAAAAATAATAAAAAATAAAAAATGCAGAGATCTGGGCACTACACACCCTTCGAGATTCGCTGGGCAGCCCCTCTAATCTTTACACACGTGGTACATTCTTTCTCTTTCGCCGGCCATCTTGAAATTACGTTATCATGGTGAGTGAGAAGACAAAAAAGTTAAATTATTTTGCTTAGTAATCCAGCCAAAACTTTCCATCATATCATTTGGATTAAATATAAATTAGTCTGTAAACTAACCAAGTTTGATGTTAAAACATCAAGTATTTGACATATAATTTGGCGGTTTAGTTTCGTTATGGTGTCGTTCGATCTTGTCTGGAGATTAAATAGTTTTGGGAACACAAGAAAAATGCGACTATGAACCTTCGACGATTTCGAATAGAAAGCTACAATTTAACTGTGAACGTTTTAAGTCTGTCCCTCTGGGGAAGAGTTACCGAGGTATTCGCTTTCTGAACGTAACAAACGAAGGAATATGTACTACACATCAGATTAGCTGGGAGAAAATAAGGCTATTCTTGATCGAATTTCATGGTTTGTGTTGCACGAGTTAAAGATGAGAGACGAAATTTTCATGTGTCGTCTGTAATGATGACTTATGTACATACAGTTGAACTGTAGAATCATTTGGATTTTATGATTTATGTCTGGCCATCTAATAAAAGGGTTTCCTCGATGCTTCTGAAGTCTAATCGATGGTCAAATACTGCCTTGCCTTCAAAACTGTTGCAGAAAGAAATGCTCATCACAGATTTTCATATGTGTGGTGTTTGTGTCTGGAGATAAAAGATATTTCCTCGTGAATATAACTCAACTATGAAAATTGAGACTAGGTGATAAAAAAAGCAGGCATGGAGTGTGTGTAGGATTATCCCTTATGGCAGGCTTCTGGTACATTTTCAGTTATTCTGGTCAAATTAAGTCTTGTGCACTCTCAAATAAAGTGGGTTCTTAAAACTGGAGTAACTCAATTTTAGTTATTCAGCTGTTATTTTATCTGTAGAGTGGTACACAACTGGAGTAAAGGCTGATAGTTTCGAAAGAAACTGTTTGGGGCTGCGTGGGTAATCGTTATGGTGGCCAATTTACCATTTCAACTTTGTTGATATATCCAAATTATTTCACAACTGGAGTAAGCAGCCAAATTTTGTCTATTTGATGTGACACAGTAAGAACTATTTGGGAATCTTTGCATGGTGTCATTTTTGGGGACTGTCTATTTTTAAAAATCTTCCTGTAATTAGCTTCCAAGACTACCAAGATGAACTGCTTCTGAAGCTCTCCTAAGCTGCTCATTAGCCACTTAAAAAATTGTGCTCTCTATGTTACAATTAATGGATAAGCATGATGTAAGACTAAAAATCACACGCCTGGTTTTGTTTCTTCTAGGCGGCTAGACCACTAATAACAGTATACGATGAGGCAGGAGAAAATGTTGGACAGACCACCCTGCCTGCAGTGTTCAAAGCTCCCATTCGTCCTGATGTTGTTGGCTTTGTCCACACTAACATGGCTAAGAACAAACGGCAACCTTATGCTGTGAACAAGCTTGCCGGCCATCAGACGTCTGCTGAGTCCTGGGGTACGGGCCGTGCTGTTGCCAGGATTCCTCGTGTGAGAGGTGGTGGCACACACCGCTCAGGCCAGGGTGCTTTTGGCAATGTATCCTTGAACTTGAGGTTATTAGATATAAACCAATAATTTATGTTTTTTTAAGTTTCCTGAAATCAAAGTCTATATGGTGACAGGCTTAAATAAATTTTTTCTGCCAAAGGAGTTTGAATTAATTTTGTCATTCCTACAATGCTATTTTTAAATTCCCAACAACAGACTTGTGATCTTGACTATTTATCCAAGGTATGTATCATGCATTTCCAAGGTGTAGTGTATTATGATGTCAAATGTCATGGTTATTTGCAGTCTCTTGGTCATATAGTTGGCATTTGACAATTCGGTTATTAATCTGGCAATATGCAAGGCATTTGACTTACCTTGACTTAAATTCCCTTTACCATGGTGTTAGATTTGTGTTTGTTACTAATTTATCCTAATTGAATTGTATGCATTTCTGTAACATCAAACATGTTACAATTGGATTGGAATGCAAATATTAAGATATTCCCATTCACAGTTAAACCCTTGTTGTTTTTTACATCTGTGTGTATAGATTTTGATGCTGAAATGAAGAGTTCTAAGTCACTAAGCACAGCCTGCATTCTCAGCAAACTAAATGACTGACCTGGTGTCATCATCTTGGGAAGATCTTGATGGTTCATCATAACGTGATTGACCAAACTCAGTCTTCACATTGTGCTTGTAGCAGTTAGGACTATTTCTAATTGAATATTGCCTGAAGGGGGTGTGTTATGAATAGGAATATACGTGCACCTTATCTGAGAGTTACATTATGTTTTCTGCAATAGTTTTGTACTTCCTTTACTTGCAACTCAGATGTGTAGAGGTGGACGTATGTTTGCCCCTACAAAAACCTGGCGACGCTGGCATCGCAAGATCAATCAGAAACAGCGCCGATATGCTATGTGCTCAGCCTTGGCCGCTTCTGCCCTCCCTGCTCTTGTGATGGCTCGTGGTCACCGTGTTGATGAGATCCCTGAGGTTCCATTGGTTGTTTCAGATGGAATTGAATCTCTGCAGAAGACTAGTGCTGCAGTGAAGCTCCTTAAGTCAGTAAATGCCTATGGGGATGTTGAAAAATGTAAGGAGTCGAAGAAGATTCGTGCAGGAAAAGTAAGTTTGCACTGAGACTTTGAAGAGAGAGAGAGAGAGACGTAAAGGCACTTTTGTAACCTTACTGTGGCACTCGTGTAACCTACAGTGGCACTTATGTAACTTTAATGGCACTTATGTAACTTATGGCACTACTGTAACCTGGCACTCATGTAACTTTTGTGGCACTTCAGTAACGCCATATTTCTGAATAGTGTGTTTTCAGTAAAATAACGAATGAAACAATTTCCTAAATATATAATTCAGAGGAAAGGAACTGCGTTGTTCCTGCCTTACTTTAATAACTGAGTTATTATCATTGAGGGGTAAATTCCAGTGAAGCAATGCTGAATTTGACACAGTTGATCGATCAGCATCAATGTAGTTTTGTTCGGCTACTGTTTTTCTAGCATTCAAGACGCCGTTTAGCATTAACTTTACTAAGCTCACGTTAATGTTAACTTAAGGACCAAGCGAAGTTGAAGAATGTCTTCTTCTGTATGACCATTGTCCTTTAAAATGGATTATTTTGGTCTCCAAGCAAGGCTTAAAAGTCTGCAATGTGCAAAGTCAGCAGCCATGCGAAGAGGTGATACTTATCAGCCAAACGGGTAAATGAATCAATGTACTGCACTTGTATTGTACTTGCATGAGAGCAATATTGAAAGTGTAGTAGAATAAAAGCTTTATATAAACGCAACATTACATGACTGGTAATAATGTTTTTTAATCTCTTAAGAACCAGGAGCGTAGCGTGGTCACTTTTTCAAGTACGCACAAGTACATATGGTCGAGAAACCTAAGTAAACTTAGAGTAAAAATAGAAACATTTGCTAAAAATTTCAAACTTTTCTGGTCACTTGAAGTACGCACGTGCGTATATGCGTATAGGACGCTA